CTGTAGTATCTTCTCGTTGCTGGGTTTCATTGCACTTATGACAACAAGCATTTTTGCCGTCGACTTGAATAGAACATAACGGCACTTTAGACCATTTAATTTTCTGATGTGACACCAGCTCTGTCGTTACATGGCTGCCTGCATTGTGTCCATTATTTTATTGTGTACTGTTTGTCTGTCAGGCTTTCATTTTGATGCCTTCACTGTAAAAGCGACCATAAAGTAAACTGTTAAAGTAAATTGACTTGTGGAATGAAATATGATAGACACATTTGTACACTGAATAACATAGTTAAAGACCACTTTAACATGAATTCTGTGTTTTAATTAAAAAATGTATTCATAATTTTCCTTTTTTTTCATGATTTCTAATTTTTATTTTGTGAAAACGTATATCCAGCATTTTCATTTACAATTGCTGCATTTTAATTATTTATTTATTTTCTTTGTTTATTTTAATGCATTTTTAACAGGCTTGACTGAGTACTTCTAAAACAAGCATCTGGTAAAACAGTAAAATGTGTTGATATTTTTACTTACATATATTACATATATACATATATATTTAAAACTTGTATTTATAGTTCTTACGCTTGTGTTAAAAAACCTCGTTCTGAAGCTGAATTCTATAAAATAGTTTTCTAGTAAATATAGAACCTTCTGATCAATCAATCTCATCAATTTCAAGCCTAAATTAACAATGGTCGATTAGTCTCGCCCATTCTAGTACAGATATGTCGCCATGAATGAAAAATGAATTACGAATTATACAATAATAACTTTTTGCAATGCTCACTTTCTTCTGCAATTTCTTTGCAAAATAATGCCTAAAAACATCACAACAAAGATCAAAATCTGGCATTTTAGGCCACAACAATCCCAAAAAAGCCTGTGAAATCCTGAATGGACTGTGATATGAATACAGATTATTTAGTTGGTTGAACAGGTACAGGTAAGGGTGTTCTTGCTCATCCCTGATATTTAGTTAATACATTTATAATACACAATACTTGTAACCCTCTATAGCTACTCTTCATCAGTATTTTATTTCTCAAATGGGAAAATACCTTGTTAGCTAACTATTGTGTCTACAGACATGTTGCCGTACAGAGTGAGAGCCACGCTGCAACCAGCTGAGGGCTGATCACTGCAGGTCAAATCAAAAGCATTTAATCACAAGAAAAGCACTCAGGTTATAGAGACTTCAGGTTTTATACTGACTGTATTTGTACTGTTGAACACACCAATAATACAATGTTTCTTAAATTAAAACCAAACAAAAACCAGTTCTGGACCAGAAAGGTTTGTGAAACATCTTTTATTTATTCTGCAGCTGTAACTGAGGCCTGAATGACACATTCAGAAGAAGGCATCCTATTGGCTGGCTGCAGATCTGTCGGGTCATGATCAGTCAGCCTTCTTCAAAGAAAACAAGTGTCAGGATTCATTTTAGTCCTGTTATCTCAAGATTACAACTCAATTATTTGGTTATTATGATTCAACACTGGGTGCTAATAATAGATATAATTCTGAGATTGAATTATACTGTTAGGTAGACGTATGAGAAATAGTTGTCTCATGATCACAAGTTTACTGCTGTTATTTTGGGGTGATGGTTGATCCTGTGTCCCAGAATAAACTAGCATGCACGTAATCATCATTATTACAGTATATCATGTCACAAGAAAACTATTAATTCATTTATATCTAAATATGATAATATGAGTAAATTAAGAGCACCAGAAAACCAGAATTTAGAGAAAATTAGGAAACAAAATCCTGAGATAACAGGCCTGGAAAATATTTTTAGACACACACTCAGTTTCCATTAAACTGGGATCGTCAGAAAAGGATGAGACATTGATCTTTTAAAGTCAGACTGAAGCTGAATGTAGAATTTGTGCTGAATTTGTGTTTGTTTCTCTGATTACTTCTGTTTTACAGAAAGATTTCTGTTGCTTGTTGACTTTCCAACACTGACCGATCCTTCTCTTGTAACTCTAGAAAGCAACCAGGAAGAGTAAACACAGAGGAAAAAGCTGCTTAAAGTCCATTTTGAAAACCAATGGTGTGTTCAGGTGGTCTTCATCAACTCCTTAAATCAGAATCGATCATGTAACCAGGTGTTGAAGTGTATCAATGAAACTGCCCCTGCAGGATGTCAATAATCCAAGTCAATTGATCAATAGTCAATAGTCCTTCGTTCAACACTGGGAAGTTCTCCACGAAATAGCACCTGAACACACCATTTATTCTGGTTTGCGTCAGGTACTTGTGGAAGACGGGGAGCAGATTCAGGCCTCAAGTTGAGGTCACTTTCATAGACCACGCCCCCTGTCTGAGGAGGCGGAGCTTGCATGGAGTCATAGCCACAGTGAGAGAAAGGCACGAGAGGGTCGGGTCAAGTAATCCAGGATCAGTCTCTATAGTGTGTGTGTGTGTGTGTGTGTGTGTGTGTGCACTCTTGTGTGTATCTTTGCGAGGACCAAATGGCTGAGGGAGTGAAGACGTTCTGACTCGGTTTTAGTTTAATCCAGTTTAGGTTTAGTTTATTAAGTTTAGTGTGAAGTTTGGGGTTAATAGTCGTGATGGTTATGGGATTATATATTAATGCGGGTCCTCACAAGTATAGAAGTACAAAGGGTGTGTGTGTTAGTGTTTTTCCTCTGTCCATGTTGGCACCACCTGGTCGTCGTCCTCTTGTTTACTCTGTAGTGTTTTTTGTGAGCTCTGATGCGTCTTGTGGGTGTTGCGGTGTGGCGTGTAGGGATTGGTCAGCCACGGGTGCATCAGCAGCTCTGACGCCTGCAGCCTCTCTGCGGGCGACTTCCTCAGCATGCAGCCAATCAGACACTTGGCTTGCGGTGACAGCCAATCGGGCAGGCTGAAGGCCCCGCGCCGGATCTTGGAGAACAGCGCGGCAGGCTGCGTGTCCTGAAACGGGTATCGTCCAATCAGCATGGTGTACAGGGACACGCCCAGGCTCCAGATGTCTGCGGCGCGGCCCGAGTAAGAACCTTTCCCATTGGTCAGCAGCTCGGGGCTGACGTAGGCGGGGCAGCCGTGCCTGTCCGTCAGAGAGTCATTGTCATGGTTACCGTGCAGGAGGACGCAGTCGTTGAGGCCGAGGAGAGCGAGACGAGTCCTGCAGAGAGAAAAAAACACACGGTTAAAGCATCAGCAGTGACAGCAGTACTGTCTGTAGTAATGGTGGTAGGTCTGTTAATAGTGGTGTTATTATTAATATTCATCTATATCACTGGTACTACTAATTATATTGATACTGCTGATACTACTGGTGTATTATTAGCAATGTAAGTTGTATCCATAGTCAGTTTAGTAGTATTTCTAGAAGTGTCAGCAGTATTAAGTGTTAATGACAGTATTAGTAGTATTTTACAGTATCCAAAGTCACTTCTGTTTCTGTGTATTATGCAGTATTAGTAGTATTAGTAGTATTAACAGTCAGTCTCACCTGTATTTGTCAGTGAAGACGAACCTTCGGAGCTTCAGGTCTCTCAGGACGACTCCGTGGCGATGACAGTGCGTCACGGCGCTCAAGATCTGAGCGAACAGATGCCCCGCCTCCTCCTCGCCCAGACGCTTCCTGCTTCGCACGTACGCGTGCATGTCGCCGTGGTGCCCGGGCAGGAAGACGTACACGCTGTCCTGGCCAATCACCACGTCCAGCAGGCCGCAGATGTTGTCGTGGTGACCAATCCGGTTGTAGGCAGCCAAACGCTCCAGGTAACCACGCAGAGGGAGCACCTGTAACCATGGCAACCGGAAAGAGTGGTTAGGATATCTTCAGTGTTTTCAGCAGTATTAACAACATTACTGGCAGTATCAGTAGTAGTAAGTGGTATTTTTAACATTAAACAACAGGATCAGTAATATTGGCGGAGCTACCTGGCAGGTGTATTGCTGCTTTGTGTGTGCGTGCTCGGCCCTGTAAGTCTCCTCCCCCTCGCAACGTTCCAACAGGAGGTACGGCCCGACTCTGGATGGGGATTCGCTCTGGGTGGACTTGGGGGTGGAGCTTCTGGGCCTGAGGCACGGTGACAGGCCGGTGGCGAGAGGTTGCAGAGTCAGACGGGCTAGTTTACATTTTGGTAAATTCTCCTGGGGTTCGTCCAGTAGCCTCTTCAGACACAGCTGAGACCTGGCTGTAGACGCGCCCAAGCTCATCTGTGATTGGAGGAGACAAGTGACATCACATCAGGTTAATTAACACTTACATCTTCATACCGTGAAGCAGCTGCGGGGGGTGTTTAAAACAGGACATTCAAAGCTGCTTATGTGTGGAAAGCTTCACTAGAACTAGTTCTCTCGGATGAAACAATTCCTGTTTGAGTAACAATATTCTGAATAACTTTAGAAAGAGCTGATGTTACAAGACACTTACACAGCAACTTCATGCTGTGATTGGTCAAGTATGTGGAGTGAAGAGAAACTGTATGAAAATGTGCAGCATTATTCCTCCATGATCATCGCAACTTCTCTCTGACGGATCTGAACAGCTATTAACACAAACTACAAGTACAAACTAGTTGTTTTTAAGTATTTTTTAATGCTAAATGCCAACACATCTTAACACATACTTAGTCTAGCAATTTGGTGTTAGAATGCTAACATTTGCTAATTAGCACAAGTAGAGCTGAGGCTGATGGGAATGAGTTTTGCAGGTATTTGGTCATAAAGTTGTGGATTAATACAATTTTTGATGACTGAGCTGGATTCAGAGGGGAACATAAATGCCAATCTATCCAATAGATGTTAAATGTATTCAGGGTACGCTGATACCATCCACATTTTTTGGCCACTTGGGGGAGAGCAGTGGAAACAACCTTGACACAACATGTTTAAGTTGTTCGCAAACAGCTGCTCGTTTACACATTCAGCAAATTTGGAGCAACACTGATTCATTTGGAGTCGTTTTTGTGTCCGACTGATGGATGTAAGTCCATTATTTACTCTTCTTATGGTCTCTACCAAGTCCTGATGGAAACTGATCCTTAGCTGTTAAAAGCTCCACTACATTCACAATGTAAAAATACTGATTATAGCGGCTCTTAGTCTGCAGATGTGGTATAGCTCAGGTGTATTTCAGGTGTATGGGAGCTTTATTGAAGTGAGAAGTTGTGGGATTTAGCTGGTTCTAGTGAACACTTGTTAGGTAAGTCATATTGGACACTAGTTCAACTCCTGGTTCTTATTTGTGCACTGCAGCGCCCTCTGCTGGGCACATCACAGCATGGCCTCTTCCCTCCAATCAAGCCCTCTTTAGTAATATTTTCACATACAGTAAGAGGAGTTATATTGGTATCACATCTCGCTGTGTTCTGTGTCTCTACCGCTCACATGTTACACTGTTAACGTGTCTATAGGCTTCATGATGCAACTTCCTGTAAGCTGACAGACGCTTCAGCTTTCAGATCGTTGCATCAGAGCACAACAGTTTATAGTTTAAACAGGCTTTAAATACAGTCAACACCTTCTACACACACACACACACAGTGAGGGAGTGTGTGTTTTTTTTATATAAAGTTTTTCTGAACCTGTGGTTGCCGTGGTGACGCAGTGTGGAAACCTGCTGTTGGCAAATGCTGCTTTCACTCTGGTGAAACACCCTGAGTCACAGCCTCACCGCGCCAACGTCATCCAGTGACACACACACACACACACAGTGACACACACACACACACAGTGAATCTGTGCTGCTGTCATCTCTCAGCTCTTTCAGGATTTCAAGATTAGACTAGACTCTACTGACTTTTATATACGGTGAATTTGAACTCATTGACTGTACTGAACTTATCTGATTTCTTATCCGTGGCGATTCGGAGGCTTCGCTGAAGAAGTTTTCAACTTTGTTTCAATGTAAATCAAGCCTCTGGTTGGCTTTTACAAACTCATCGTAAAGATTGCCAGAGCTGCAACTAAACCAAGTATTATCATACTGACTAATGTAACAGGGACGGGCAGGAGAACTTGCAAAAAGTGAGGAAAACTGTTTAGGGGTTCTTAATGTCAACATTGCACATCATGTTGAAATTGCTTTCTATGTTGCTTTGTATTTTCTCTTGTTTTATTTCTGTTAATTAAATGAATAATGTGTCATCTTTCTTCCTTTATCTTTTTGAAAACATGACTACATAATTTATTTGTTGCTTTAGTATATTATATATCTGTTTGTAAATATAGAAAATTAATAAAATCTTACATCTCTTTATGACACAATTTAGAAAACAGGGAAAATTTCAGACCAACATCCCAAAACACAAAGATATTCAGTTACTTCCACCGAAGAATGCATGCATCAACATTTTTTTTACAACTTGTAAACATGGATGAATTATTGATCGCCAAGTCGGGGTTTAACGTTTGTTAAAAAGTCACAGAGCTCAGTCAGAAGTCAGAGTTTAATCCTTTAATCTTGAATGTCTTCCATTTACTGAGGCTCACCTCTGCTCGCTGCTCATCTCTTCATAATTGACCCTGTTTTTAAAGCCACTTACTGATTGTCCCGGGCTTTTACCCATTCTTCATCAGTGGATGCAGTTTTTGCTCAGTTGTCATGGATCAGTCGTCTGTACGACTTAAGAAGTATACAAATCAGAGTATAGAAAGAAAGGAACTCAATGCCCACTTTCTGTTTCCCAGACTTACTGTGCCATGTGTTCATCAAATCATCAGGTTCTTTAAAGCACTGACATCAAGTACACTAAAAAGCTAAAACCATTGCAGCGCAATTGATGCTAAGCTAGGGACCCGTCTGGCGATTGACTCACACTCATGGCCAATCTAAGACAATCTGCTGATGAAGACCAGCGTCTAGCTCTAAAGGAGTGATGATTATCGTTCAAAAGCGAACTTACCTGGTGATATAATATTAGGTCTTGAGAACAGGGTGCTTCCAAGAGAAGGGC